GATAGATAGATAGATAGATAGATAGATAGATAGATAGATAGATAGATAGATAGATAGATGGCTTTCAATTTAAAACTTTCAATTTAAAAATGTTTACTGCTACTTAAATCAAGTTTGAATCTATTGGTGCTGAAAAACTTGTTTTTTTTCCTTACATAATTTAATTTGTGTCTCATCAACAGAATCTTCTACATGATTGAGTTGTTTCCAAATTGACATTTCCATTTAAAATTCTTTCAGAAAGCCCAGTTATGCACCATGATTGCCTCATGGTCAGATATTCTCATTTATAACGTCCCTAGAAATTAGTTTTAGTAACACTCTCTGGGATGGACTGTGATGGACTTGCGACCTGTCCAGGGTGTACCCGCCCCTGGTACTGTGACTGCTGGATATGGGCACCAGTGACCCCTGTGACCCTGAAAGGAATAAGTGGGTATATTTAATGGATGGATCTCTAGGATATTTTATTTTTAAYAACCCAACCCTGATTTGTGCTTCTCCACAACTGTGTTACACCTTCACTGTCTCTTGCTTTCTGGTAGTTTTTATTAACTGGTCTGTTCTAAMATGCATATTTCATTTGTTTACAGGTGGGTTTTATTTAACTAATTCTGATTAGAATAGCTGAGGCACCACTTTTCTTTTCAGCCTGCAAAATTTAAATCCACATCTGGGGACGATCTGGAAAAAAAAACGTTTTAATGCTGTTATACAGGTTTTATCCACAAGAGGTCAATGTTGCCCTGTTTTTATTTTAATGATTTTTTTGTGTGTGTTTTTGCGTGTGAATGCACAGTAGGCCTACCTGTTTTGTTTTGGTTTTTTTTATTCGTTACAATCACCAACCTATCGGGACCAGTAGTCTTTATAGGAACAATAAAAATCTGTTTTAAAACACTAGTATAGTTAAAACACTAGTTACTGAAAACTGAAAAAAAAAATGCTCCAAATCTGTCAGATTGTGAGGGCATCTCGTGCCCTCCTCAGATCATCCCACAGGTTTTCTCTGGGTTTTGGGTCTGGACTCTGRCTGGGCCATTCTTCTTCTTGTGAAGCCATTCTTTTGTTGATTTGGATATGCTTTGGGTCGTTGTCGTTCTGAAAGACAAAGTTTCTTTTCTAGCAGAAGCCTGAAGTGTTTGTGCCAGGATTGACTTGTGTTTTGAACTCTTTACAATTCACTCCACCATGACTAAAGACCCCAGTCCCAGCTGAAGAAAAGCAGCCCTAAATCATGATGCTGCCACCGCCATGCTTCACTGTGGCTGTGGCGTTCTTCTGATGTGCAGTGATGGGTTTGCACCAAACTTACTTTATGGAATGATGNTTCTTCTGATGTGCAGTGATGGGTTTGCACCAAACTTACTTTATGGAATTATGGCCAAAAAGTTCACCAGACCATGACTCATTTTCCCACATGTGGGAGACTTCACATATGTTTTAGCAAATTTTATCCAGGCATTGATGCTTGTTTTTATGCCTTTTTTTCTAAGGAAAGGCTTCTGTCATGCCTAACCCACAACCCAGACATAAGAAGAATACAGGAAATTGTTGTGACACATACTACACAGCACTTCTGAAAAATTCCTGTAGCTCCTTTAGTGTTGCTGTTCTGTTTGGTCTCGTTTTTTTACATCACAAAAACCTGGAATGGGATGTGTTAATTTCCCTTTTCCATCGTGATCTGAGTCAGGGTTAGGCACTTCTAATGTTTATGAGGTTCAGGGTTTTAAATTAGGTTAGAACACTGAACAGAAGTCAAATTAATGTTAGAAACATATTACAGCAGCGACTGGAGAGCCTGTTCCTGAGCAGAGTTCATCACTCTGATCGATCTGGCAGCTTCTTGGTGACTTCTGAATTCAGCGGGGATGAACACAGAGCTGGAGGCACACTTTGCCTCTGACCCACACAAGTTAGACAAGAGGACAATCACAACTTGGCTTTCAGTCAACGCACACACACACAATGAAGAGTTGTTGGAAGCGCGCTCGTCTTGCCTTGGATAAAGAGGTATTTGTTTGTGTTACATAATGAGCAGAAATCTGTGAGCCAGCAGAGAGGTGACCACCACACACAGACCCCCCTCCAGGCTTTGCTTTTCACAGCACTTTGAATAGTTTGCTATATTGGCAATAAAGGGAACAATTTTTATTGTCATCAGGGTAGCAATGTTCTATCACTCTGATTTGATTTGCAAAACATGCATTTATTTTTTCAAACTGAACTAATACAAAAGTTAAATTAGAAAATAATTAGTGCATAAAAACATTTTTTTACTCCCAACTGTGCCAAACGATATTCATAATCTGTTACAATGAACAGTGAAATACTAATTATTTAGACCAGTGAACATTATAACCAAATAAAGCCCTACGGGAACCATGGTTCTGCAGCAACATGTTTCACCTCCAGTATCTCTCTGAATGTTGTGTGGGTCTGCAACCTTCAGCTTATGCAATAAATGAAACCGAGTCCTTTAAATGGAAATACACAACCCAGTTAATTTCTGATTTTGCGAGTACATTAATAAAGAAAGAGGTCACATCCTCCCTCTGGCTCTAAAAGCACAAACTAAACTGACAACTGGAAACAGAAATCTTGGTTCTTGCACAATAAAACAAACATATTTTCAAACCTGAGTGAAACAAAATCAGAAATTTCTACCCAAATCCCCCTCAAGAAAGCAGAAATCTACACAATTTTTCACCGTGTAGGTCTCAGTTACGACACAGTCATTCCTCCGTTGTGGTCCACACCAGCCATGTCTGGATCTGAAGGTTTGATCACGGCTGTAAAACTGCTGTAAATGTGGGCCAGAGAGCAAACATTCCTTCTGATCTGGGCAACCACTGCTGTTATTTAATTATTTCACAGCTTTTTACACAAACAAATATAATTTTGAGAATGAGAAGAAATTCTCAAAAATCTAAATCACATAAAAATGATCATGTAAGTGAGTGACCCAAGACATCAGATTGAGAATGAAGTCAAATTGGATTAATAAATTTAAAAGACGTTTTCAGATTGCTGATTTTTAAGCTACATTTTGAGACCTGGATCTTCCTGAGCCGTTCCAGAGATGTACCTTGATTTGTCTCCCTGTTTAGGATAACCCACTGAAATGTCTGAATCTTACTTTAGGTTGTTATAACAAGGGATATTTTTATGTTATTTTGAGGAAACCTCTGACAATTTCTGAATGTTAAGATTTGGCAGCTGGAAAGACAAAAAAGAGAAAATTAAAAAAAAATTAGGCTTTTCTGATCAAAATTCTGTTTTTTTTTTTGTAGCTGTTGCTCAAAAAAAGACATATGATATAATATGATATGATATAATATTTCAGATCAAAAAGAAAAAATTGTATAGGTCCTCTGGACGGGTTCTTCTTTAATGAAACGTTTCATCTCTCTTCCAAGAGACTTCTTCAGTCTGAGAGTTTCAGGCAAAATTCAGGCTTTTGAGTCCTGCCTCCATGTGACTGATACTCACATCACATGGCTATTGTCGACACCTAATTAACACCTATTGTTAACAGGGGGTGGAGTGATACTGGCAGTAGCAGCGCTGTAGGAGGGGGACAACTGAAAACGGAGGCCTCCATATTTCATATATTTAATTTAAATGACCTGACAAGGCATTCATTCATTATAGAGACTTAATCCTCAGTTTGATGTGATCAGTCACAAATATATATTTATCAGGAGCAGTTTTAGACTTTTTCAGGAACGTCATGTTTGAGCACCCGCTGGTAAATGTTGATGGATAATCTTCAGTCAAGCCAAAAGTTGGACTGTTAAATCACTGAATCTGTTTTTATAAACTATACTAACACGAGCGTATTTATAACTTGTGTGTCTGTCAGCGAATTCTATAAACACCAAACTATCTGTTATCTTCACATGCAGAAAAGATCTAAAACACAGACACAAACCTATAGAATTAATTCACTTACTGTCATAAAAACTGTTAGAAAGCCTCGGGACCTTCTGACCTCATTTTCACAATAAATTACATGCCACACTGATTTTTTCCCCACCCACACATTATCGGACATACGCCTCTACGTTGTTGTGCGTGACACAGAAGCGCAGAGCGCCCGAGGGGAAGGTTTAGATGTGAACATGAACACACGCTGTAACTATGACACTGCAACCATCATGTGTCCGCCTCGGATGAGTCCCCATTTTATTTTTAGGCTCAAGTAAAGATTACTCTGAAGGTCTGGAGGAATCTGTTTGTGAGTGGGCATTTCTTTCATTTTATTTTAGCAAATACTGAACGGACACGGGGAAGGGAACAAAAGGCATGACAGGAGGCAGGAAGAAGACTGAAAACACGACAGATTGAATAAAGTCCATTAAAAAAAGAACATTGTGTGAAAATGGAAGAAAAGGAACGGAGCCGTTAGTTTCACAACAGAACACAGAGTCTGGYGTGTCTCAATGACAGAAACTGTGGACACAGAGCTCTGCTTTGGCAGC